CAGCAGGAGGAAAGATCAGCCTGGACTCGCAGCCCTGGCTCCCCTCACATCACCCCCCGCCCCACCCCACCTAGTATTTTCTACACTCAGGAATGACAAAGTACAAGCATCTTTTTTCTGATGTGGCATTTGATTAAGACACAGTTCATCAAGAGGACTGTGTATGAACACATGGACATTTGAACACAAGGACTCCACATATTTATGGGGTTGTCCTAAGCAGCTCAGGCCGTCAGCTCAGTCTGCTGCCTTAGGAGCAGAAGATGCACATTAGGATGCTGACTCAGCTGTTTCCCCTGCAGTCAATTTCTTGCTGAAGGTTCAATAACTTTCCCTGACAATAAAAAAATCTGATATTAAACTCGGCATAAATACTATTTAAAGTCAAAACAACCCCCTCAATTCCAGAGGTGGGGGGGCCAGAGAGGAGACAGAATAGGTTAGGTGTAAGATGATAGCCAAATTCTGTTCATAATGCTGTGAAGTCATCTTTTAAACAACCTTAGAAATAAGCTGGAGTGAACTGGAAAGTCATTGTTGAGATTCCCAAAGGCAGCCTTTCATGAAGGCTGTGAGGGCTGAGACTAGAGAAACAAGGGAGAGTTCTTCTTCCCTCCCTGGCACCCTGAGACCTGGGGTTACCTCTGAGCCGTGAAGGCACCTCTGTGGGAACACTCAGCCTGCAGGAGAGCAGCTGGAAGATGTTCCCTACTGACAGGGGTGGGGAACACAAGCTACCCAAACCTCTGCCACGCAGTGCCCTGTGCCACTTCTCCCCTCTCTATATAGTGCACTTGTCTTCTGCAAGAAGCTGCTGCAAGGATTGGGCTTTTCCACAGCTCCACAAATGGAGCTGGCAGGGCAGTGGTCAGCACACCTGCTGCCTTCCTGCAATTAGAAAAAGATGCACCCTCTGGAGGCTCCATTACTAAAAAGCATCCTGTGCACTTGGCCAGCCAGGTGGGGATCAGTCCCAACTCCTGCCTCTCTTGTGCAGGGCCCTATGACAGACACATCCACCGGCAGAGCAGCAAGGGCGGTTCTGAGGGCAGGAACTTCTTATTATAACATCTGAATATTTCATGGGTCAAACGTGTCTCCTGAAACTTAATTACTTAAAAAAATGGTACATCACATCGCACTGCTCAGCCTGTCCCCTGCCATCCATCTCACAGAGAAGGCCATAAGATCCTATTTTTGATGTAGTCGTTTGTATTTTGGTACGTAAAGGCCACAGGGAGCACCTATCCTCAGTACTTTATTTGCTTTACCAGGATGTTAATTTGTGGCCTAGGCAATAACACTGAAAACTTGAAATATGCAAGAGGCAGTCCAAACCCAAACACCCAACATGAGTTATTGGCGTTTAATTACCGAGGCAGTTAAATAGTGCTGTAAACGAGTTCATCTCTGATTGCAGCCATAACCCTTGCAGTTTGGAATTGAAAGAAGGGATGATAGAAGACGGCAATATAACATGAGGACGTCCATGAGTTGGTTTTAATTGGTAAACTGGCATATATAGTGATAACTGTTTGGTCTGCCCAACACACTGGAATCCTAGGAAAGTGCATAAAGTTACGGAAGCATATAATTGGTGTACTAAACTCATTTTCTTATGTTATCACAGCTGACATCTTCAGGTTATTAAAAGCCTTTAAACCAGTCATCTTCAAAGAGATCTAATTGACAATATGGTCTTTATACATTATTCCCGTTCGCACAGAGCAGAAGAGATGTAAACAGGCACTAAAATCTGCACAAATTTTCTGGGCACATCTTTCTTATTTCAAGTTCAAGGAAGATCAGTAAATGTTAATGAGGATAAAAACCATTCTTTAGATCCTGGTTTCCTCATTCAATGCACAGGGCATCAACCCATAAAGGATAAACTAATATTATAACCTGAACCAGACTTTTAAAAAGTTAACTCATTAGTTTGAGGGAGTTCTGTGATCTTTTCACGTATAGGGGACCCTACATAAAGGACTGTTTCCCAAGGTATAATGATATATTAGAATGACAAAGATGGGCTTAGGTTCTGACATTCTTGGATGAGCAATTATATGTTGTTTCACCTACTTATTCTGCTTCGACAATCTAGGCGCACTTCTGGGACGGTCTTCACTCTCTAACCACCATTCACCCACCCACCACCACACACCTCTCAAGGAGATTTTTCCCAACAGGAGAAATAGGGTTAACCGAACAAAACAAAATGAACAGAAACACCCTCCCCCTGTCTTATGGCATTCTAGAATAGGAAAAGAAATCCTCAAACATGGAAGAGTGCGAAAGAGAAAGAAAAGGTAAGTGGAAAGGTAATGTGGTATCATCCTAGCATGAATGATTACTGAAGATTCACTACAGGTTTATCATATAGGAAATCTGTGTTCCTTTAGGCCACACCGCCTAGGAGTACAAATAGTAGTGAATTGAAAGTGATTAATGGTATGTATCACACTCTCCAGTATTTTGGGATCTCCATCTCTCCTACTTGTTTCTGGGAGTACTCAAGGTTCTCGTCCTTAAGATGTGACCACTCAGCTCGCAGTGAGTCCTTCCACCTCTGCTGGTCATATTGGTAGGCAGGTGTCTTGCCTCTGGTCCATAGTGATGCTTCCTTCCATTGGGCTGCTGCTTCTTGTTGTGTGCTACTGACACTCTGGAATCCCTGTGCTCTTGGGGTAATTTATTGCACTGAAACCATACTAAAGTCCATGCCTTTTGTGTCCATTCATGTTCTTAGCTGAGAACATGAATCCATGGGAAGCTGGAGTAAGAGACAAATCCAAGAGACAAACTCCATGCTGAACCTGGAATCATCCAAACACTGAGGCCCATGGCCTCAACTCCCAAAAGGGAGAGTTTTTGACTCAGAAAGCCTCTTAGTCTCTCATGTAAACAAACCACATCTCACTGGTCTTCTAGACATGTCTGAATCCCAGATATGGTGAAGCTTAGGCTGCAACTGGAATCTGACCTGTGTACGTATGTATTTGACCTCCAGATCCTGTTAGCACTCAATGATGAAATAATTTTCTTCCCAAAATTCTGGCTTAATCTCTGAATCACTGATCACTAGCTTGGTCCCGGCTGGGCATAACCCAACACAATGAAACTCAGTCATTCTTTAACTCATGAAATCTCATGGATAACTCTGATTCTACATTTCAAATCTCTCTTTTCTCTCCCTCCCTCTCTCTCTAAATATATATATTATACATACATACATATAGATATGTAGTACTAGCTATGTTAAAAAAGTATTGCAGTAGCCAAGGTTACAATATTTTTGAATATATGCATAGTTTATTTGTATATATTGGTCAAAACAAAGCACTTATTTACTGTGATTTAGCTACAATGTTAGGAAACTGCCATTGCACACACTCTACTGTGAAACTTCAGTAAATACTTTTCTATGTGCAGGATTATTTTAAGCCCACTGCAATTATAAGACATCAGCTACCAATTATGATAATGTTCTATTTACTTTATATATCAAGAAAAAAAGCCATTAGGTTAAAATTATCTACTATATCTCAATTATATTGTAACGAGATATTCACTAATATCTTACAGGATAAAATCTGGAATACATCACTTTAGTTAATAATCTTGATCATTTTAAGATGAAATAACCCTTTTTTTCTCAGATTTAAATACTTCATGTTTTTAGTATGTTTGTGAACTAAAAATAAAAAAAGCATGGCAAATTCCAAGACAATGGTGTTTGCCTTACTCTAAGGAAAGAATTAAGCCTGAACGTAGGGCAATACTTTTAGAGAGTAGACAGCTATTGATTTTGGCTGCTCTAGCTCTAGACATGTCCCGTCACATAGCTTCTGCAGTCATATTTAATCCATTATGAGCTTTGCTGTATTTCTCCCTGCCTGCCCCTTTCATCTTTTAGCAATTAAGATGATTATAAAATGGTAAAAATATAAAACACAAAAGAGTAAAAACAGTAAAATGTTTATGGAAACTTATTTCCATAAGTAGAATTGCTAGGTAACTGAACTTGATTAAAGTAAAAAAGCTTTAAATATTTTTGATGGAAATATTTATCAAATGTATATAATATAAAATATAAAAAATTATATATAAACATGTTTTGAACATTTTCTTAATGACTAATTGTTTTGAGTTACAGAACACTAATGCTTTTTGGATTATTCAATCATTCATTCATTCAACCATTCAACAAGTATTTATTGAGTGCTACTATGTTCCAAGAACTATGAAAGGCAGTAGAGAGAGAGGTGAACAAAACATACAAAAAGCACTGCCCTGCTGGTGCTCATATTCTAGGTGGTATGTAGGATGTTTATCTCTACAGCAAATGGACCCTGACTGCTGTGGTTTTAGCTGTTCTGTCTCCTTCCTCTGTTGTCAGCTGTCACCTCACTGGCACCATGCTTTGTATTGTACCTGATCCATAGTAAGCACTTGGTAAATGGTAGCTACTATTATCCTAATCTCTTCACTTATTTTTACATATGAAGATATAAGCCCTAAGATTTTTTAGTGAACAGAAAGTTAGAGGTAAGACCAAGGCCAAAAGCAGGCATCCTGATTCTCACCATGTTGTACAGATCTTTTTCTGATACGCTGCATACTTAAAAAAAGAAAGAAAGAAATACTGAATCATTTAAATGATCATGAAGGGGCCGTTCAGCTCTATATAAGTCCCTCTTACCCTCTAAAACTGAAATATGCAAACATGCCTTCCCCTAATTCTATTCCCCCAACATTCAGTGGGCAGACCTCGTTCTAGAGACAAGTAACAAAGGGTCCGAAAGCCCTGGGAAGTTTAACTTTATGCACCATTAGGGCACCATTTGCTCCCTTACCTTAAACTTGTCAACTTCAGCTTTTGAACATGTCGCATGATAAGATAGCACCTGGTTCAGAAAAAAAGGAAAAGAAACTTTAATAATGAGACATGATTCAATTTTCTGAAATTCTCCTGGCTTAAAAATAAATTTTGCTCATGTATATCACCTTGACATAACAGTGAATGCTAATGCACGACAAGATATTTCCAGTAACAGTCTGTGACACAGATTGTCATCTGTGCAACTACAGTGGAATCTATTACAATGTGGAATGGAACAACAGCCCATGTTAAAGGCTAAGTATTTTATATCAGGATGTTTTTATAAGTAGTTATTTTATCAAAGGGACATAATGTGGCTCAAGACCACAGTTGCCAAAGATGTGAATACTTGTCCTGTGAAATGCTTTGGAACACAAATAAATTAAAAGGTGGGGTGTGTGCATGCATGTACATATGTGCATGCATGTACATATGTGCGCAAGTGTACGTGTGTTTGTGTGTGTACTGTGGCAAACACTGTAGCTTGCTGACTCAATTTCCATGTCTGGTCTATGTTCACTTGCCTGCTTTTGTTGTACAGGAAAGATTACATTGTTATGCCCAATCATCTGCAGTGCTTTTTGTAAGAGGATTTTACTTCCCTGTCCTACTGACAGCCTGTTATACGTCTAGAGTGGAAAGGGAAAGAGAAATGAGGCTGGCCCGGGGCGCACCC